GGTCATGTAATAAACCGGTTGGAGTTGCAATCCGGGAAGAAGCTCGGGTCGGTGCGGACTGATCGGGGGAAGAGATACGTCAACAAGGCCCTCAAGAACGTGTTTGGGGGCAAGAGGACGGTGCAAGAGAAGACTGGCCCCCACATGGCCGAGCAGAACGGGTCGGCAGAGCGGCTCAATCGGCAATTGGAGAAGAAGGTCCGACGATGCTCGAGGATTTCGAGGCTGAGGATTTCGAGGCTGCGCAAAGAGATGTGAGCAGAGGCCGTTGTGACGGCCAACTACACCCAAAACGGGACCCTGGTGAGCGCACACCGGAGGACCCCGTGGAAAATGTTTCTTGCAGAAAGCCCAACGTGGGGCACATGCGGGTGTTTGGGGCGCGCTCCTGCAGGCACGTTTTCAAGCAGAGGAGACAGAGTTGGACGGCGTTAAGCGAGAGGTATGTGTTGAAGGGGTAAAAGCCGGACTCCAAAGCGTATTGGGTGCTCCGGAAGAGCCTACAGAAGATCATGGTCTCTCGGGACGTCATTTTTGGATTAATGCGAGGAGAACAACGGGGTTGTTGAGTTGAGCTCCGACCCCACGGAGGGTTCCACAGAGGAGGCCAACGAGCGTGACATCGCGCCTGCGACAAACCATGGCCGCGTGGCGGCACGCACGATTTCCAAAACCGACCAAAGTGGGCAACTTTTGGAAACGGTGCAAGAAAGCAGAGCAGAGCCGGAAAAGATTGTGGAGGACTTAGGGATGGATGCCAACACCGGCTGCTCAGAGTGTACTTCGCGCGTGAGAGACACACGCCAAGAAAGTGATCTGCGCCAGCTTGGCGGCCGACACCAAAGCGGGGAAGCAACCCTTGAAAGAAACGGGGGAGCACCCAGAACCGCAGAGATATCAGGAAGCCTTTGGGAGAGAAGACAGTGACCTCTGGCGAAAGTCCATGAACGGAAAGATGCGTTCCCTATTGGAGAACGGGACTTGGGAGATCGTCGAAAAACCACAAAGGGGTCAAGACGGTTCCCATGAAGTGTGTTTACAAGAATAAGCGGGACGCTCACGGGAACGTGGAGCGGTACAAGTCCCGGCTGGTGGCGAAGGGCTACTTGCAGATTCAGGCCCGGATTGATTTCGAGGAAGTCTACGCCAGGCGGTGAGCAAGCACACGAGGTTGCGTGCGCTGCTGGCGGTGGTCGCGGAGCGCTACTTGGAGTTGCCTCAGTTGAACGTCAAGACGGCGTTTCCATGGGTGACCCGATACGTAATACGGGTATATTCTAGGAAAAGGACAATACGCGAATTTTGAAGCCTTCAACGTTTGAACTTTTCAGATACGTGGGAAGTACGTTTTTACCAAAGCCGTTACCATCTTACCAGCTAGAACTTTTAGCGCTTCTGACAAAATTCCACTTTAACCAAGTAATTCTAGAGGGATTGTGCATGAATCAAAATGCAAGAAAAGATTGCTATTTGGCGCACTCGCGACATATTTCGAATACTACATTCTTTGATTTCTTTTCTTTTTTCCGCCTATGTCGGCCGTATTCTGGCCGTATTAAATGTTTGAAAACAAAATGCTCTTCAATCCGCGTATTAACGTTGACGACGTTGAATGGGCATAGTTATGCTGAGATTGGCTCTTCGACAAAAATGGGTTCCGTTGCTTGACATACACGTTTTGGTTGTGACGTTTTTAACATGCAAGTCTCTCGCTGGTTGGTCAATAGATATTGAATACGATCCCCTACCCTTTTGTGACGGTTGGCCAGCTTAAGCGAAGTGCTGGCGGGTTACCTACATACACTAACGGCAGCCATGTGCGGAAAGCATGGTTGCAGGCGAATGCGCAGCTCTGTAAAAATGTTGTCTTTCAGCTCAAGACAGTTCTGCTTGCTGGTTGGGACTTGACTTCAAGGATCTCCGCAAGTTGAACCAAGTCTTGTTCCTCGTTAGTGGAGTCTTGAATCATGGAGGGGCAGTCTCGAGCGCAATCGAGGTCTGCATCCAATCATTTCCAAGTCCCCCGTCCAGCTGTTGAAGTAGCTCACTTACGACCGTACAGTAGAGCATAGTGCGCCATGTTAGAATCCGGTGATTATGGTCAGCCGGATTACTCCGTGATTAGGGTTCGGACCGAGTTAGGGTTTGAACTAGTGAGCGCCGGC